TGGAATTTCCGCCAGGCTTGGATCCTTTTTTTTTTTTAGGGTCCGAAACCACCGCCGAGTTGGAGTGCCTCAGCCCGGGTGCAGGGAATCCGTCTTACGACATAGGCGTCCCGCACCCGGCGTTGGGTGGCCGGTGGCAACAAGGTTAAGTTAGCTTAGGCCCCTCTACTTCTCTCAACTGGGCTTGGGACCAGCTATGGCAGTCGCCCCCAAGTCGGTACGCCCTCCCAATGGGACTCTGGGTGGCCGCCTTCCAGGGAGGGTTAGGCGCAGTTTGTATCGTTGGATAAACACTATATTTACACTCGCGAAAGTCACTGCTTCTTTTTGTCCCTGTCCTTACACACTACCTAAATTTACCCTATCTTATTATACCCTTCCCTCGGTATATGTACAAATTCATTCACTCTATTGAATCCCTTCCCCTAAATTCCCCACATGCATTAAACCCCCAAAGGTCACTCACTCGTCCTCGCATACTGAATACCTATATATACAATTCATTGAATCCATTAATTCTATGTATATGAATCAAAAGGATTGAATGTTATGTACAATTCATTATGTACAATTGTCCGTCCTACTTTATATCTCTAATATTCACTTTCTTAATTTCACCGCGACACGTGCTAATTCGCATCTCCAGGAATGCTACTCTGTAGAGAATTAAAACAAAGGAACGGGGATACGACCCGATGCATCATACGCTAGGTGTCAGCACACTTATATATTAGGAAATACAAATGTAATATCCAATACGCCTCCTTACATTTGTAGTTTACATTTTTCTTCTTAACACATTGAGCGCCGGCGACCTAAGAGACATTTAAAGCTTGAGCCACTTAACACGTTGAGTGCTGCGTCAGTCCCTAGGGACTGACAGTGAGCTTTCCGTTTAAGCGGCGTCAGTCCCTGGGGCCAGACAGTAGATTTTTCGTTTGGACGGCGTGGATTCTAGGGACTGACAGCGAACTTCTCGTTTGGTCGACATCGGTGCATGAGACCGGCATTAAAGGGTTAAATTATTAATGACAATTAAAAAATTTATGTTAAAATTTAGTGAAGTTTATTAAAACATTTTAAGCAAAGATGTAGCTGTGATTTGCACACATTACAGTATGTAACAACTTGCTTTGTGATTTTCCTCGCTAACTGGCGTCCGAACATTTTTGTGTTTGTGCTGTAACATTCAGCACAGTATTTTCGAACTTTATGCGCCTTTCCTTCTTTCTTTTGACATTTGTGAATACGTCTACTTGTATCGGCCCTAATTGGAGTTTCCTCGTGTGAATGTCGTGTGAGAACATCTACCAATTGTTTTCGGAATGTTGTAACTGACATTTTTCTTCCTGTTACATTTTGGAACATATGTAATGCATTCACAACGGCAGTATTCAAAAGAAGGTCGAATACTAGTTTTCTGTACCATTTTAGTGATCTTCTAAGTGGACTGCTGTAAGCACCCATTTGATCAGACAGATCAATCGCCGTTTTTCCCTTATTATAATCAATAATAATTTTTGATTTACAGCAAACCCCTGTTTTTGTTGTTACGTTTTCCATTTCGTCAGAATGCTTGGTCGAAAGAACTAAAACATCCCTCTTGTCTTTCCATTTCATGATCGTAATTCCTTTACTGTTTTCTTGAGCAATGACTTCTCCGCGTCGCAGTTTGGCAGTTACAACTTCATTTGGATTGTCTTTGCGATTTGGTCGAAGAGTACCAACGAAATACGTATTTTCTGATATGAGTTTGTTCGCCAAATTCACACTCGTGTAATAATTGTCCGTGTATAAAATATGGCCTTTATCAAACACATTTTCACATAAATTCATGACAACATTTGTGGGTGTTGTATTTTCCTTTTCCAATGATTTACCGGTGTAATTTATCAAACAGATTTTCACATAAATTCATGACAACATTTGTGGGTATTGTATTTTCCTTTTCCAATGATTTACCGGTGTAAATGCGAAAGTTATAAGTGTAATTATTATCGCAGCACAATTTAAATATTTTTATCCCATATTTGTGTCTCTTTTGTTTCATGTACTGTCTAAATATGATCCGTCCACGGAATGGACGGAATCATAATATTTTTTTAAATTTGTATTTAATTCGTTTATCACAAATTCGACCTTTGAGAGACGGTTGAAAGCATCCACTTTTTCATTATCAGCAAAATGCAACATTCTCAACAGAATTTGAAATCGGTCTTTACTCATTATTTTCCGCGGGAATGTTTGAATAAACAATGGATCCTGGAACCAATACAAATTCAAAGATGGGAGTTTTACCAATCCCATCCACAAAATCAGTCCAAAAAACCGCTTTATCTCGTCCTAATCTGTTGGAACCCATTTTTCGACACGTTTGGAAGCGATTCTTTTTTGTGAGGCATAAATATTAGTTTGTTCGCTTATATGTTTAAATATTTTATCCGTGACACAAAGGCCATAAAAATCTTCCACTTTTCTACAATTTTGCACTTTTTTGTTAGAGAGTTTGGCACCATGGGGACTTGTGAAAGATCCAATGTTTGGTTGGTTGCCTCGCGGAACAAACCACTCTTTTGGAGCACTAGTTTCAATATTCCTTAGTGAACTATCGGATGAACTGTCACTATCTGAAGAAGGCAATGGTATTACACGCCGACGTCTGCGTGGTACAGATGGCTCACTCGATGAGTCATTATCTCTTCGTCCTCTCAACATTTTTAGTTGATGGGTAACAAAACTTTTTCAAAATAGTCACTGTAAAGCTAAATTCTCTCTGCTGCAGTGAATCTTTATACTCCCGTGGCTTTTTCGGACTGATCGTTTCTTGGTGTTCGTTCTTTTGTCTCTCTGGCATTCCCCACCCCAATATCTTATGTTTATACATTGTATACATGTGCATTGGCTGCACCATTGTCACAGTCCAAGCGACAAAAGAAACAGTGAAAGAAAGAATCGTCTGTTGCGCTGTGTCGCGCGGTCTAGTTTAGTGTTCGGCATCAAACGCTCACGCGCTGCCGCCTGAGCGGAAAGTATAGGAAACTGGGCGCCGCACTCAACGTGTTAACAGCCCCAGTGACCTGAAGAACAAAGGGAGTGATTTTGAGATTTCTGTGTTTGATGATAGTCTGTTGCACCTAACTACAATATAGCCCTGGAACGAAATACTCTTGCCTTGGGAGAGCCAGGTCTCTTGAATTGTAAATACGGCAATATTGTTGTTTCCCATGAAGAATTTAAGCTTTTTAATTTTTGAAACTAAAGAACGTGCGTTCTAAATTATGAAATTTCCTAAGAAGGGGGATCAGAAGACGATAATCAACCCAAAAGAAGCTGGACAGCTTCAAGTATTGCTTTGATCTTGTCAATGTTATTTCGACAAGCTGAGAATTTGTTCCTGAGATTTAGGAAAATTGATAGAGACTTGCTACAGATCTGTACAAGGAAGCTAGTCAGGTCCTGAGGGTACGCCTGCAATCCGGGAGAGGGGTGTCAGAGAAACTGGAAAATGGAAGTTATTTTGAGCTAGAGAGGGGCCCGTAAGAACTTCCTTACAAGATTTGGCCGTAGTGGCGTAGCCAGTTGCGGTTCTCGGCGATGAGTTCTTGGTACGAGCACCATCGGTCCTATCACCACCACCTACGTTTCGGGGAGTAGGCCTTTTTAATAGGTGGCTAGGAGAGAAAACTACCGGGCCGATTCTCGTTATCTCTACGGCGTTCTATTCTGCGATGCATTCTGCACGTCGGCGTCGAATTCTCGAACCACGATGGTGGAGGCAAATACCGAGAAATAAAATTTACGACGTTAAAGAGAATTCCTACAACTAAAAGTGTCCTACGAAATCTCACCCTTTTTTGATCCCCAATACAACGGTGTGCTTGGTTTTTCATTAGCTCTTACGGATCCCGAGTTACGGCTAAAAGTCGCGAATCGACACGTCTACCGTCGTGCTTGGGGTTAGTAGTTTTCCGCGGTCTAAATGTTGTTTGTAAAGATAGGTTTTTGTTTTCTTGGAATATCAGATTCCCACATTCAACGTATGTTAATACGTCGTTCTCCAGAGGATAGGCGGTTTGAGGATTTGGCGTGTCGTAATGTTCGATGTACCTTGAGCGATAAAAGTATATCTTTGTGGGTTTAGCTGATTCGTTACTAACGTTACTGAGGAGAGGTTTAGTTGAAATGAGCGAGTATGACTTAACAATGCTATATATTCTAGTATAAATAAGAAGTGACAAGTTACTTCGATCCAACGATCGGTTACAATGATAGTTAAATAGTTAAACAGTCTATTCTCGACTTGGCGAGGATATTCCTTTTCAGTTTACGCGACGAGTCGCGGGGGTGTCTTAGACCGTATTGAGAATATAATAATTCTATGCTCGAAAGGGAACACAACCCGATCTTGCTCGCGTTAACGTTCCGACTGGCAGAGTAACGTTCTGGTAGAAGACTGAGCCCCAGAGCGTCAAAAGTCAGGCCCTTATATACCCCCAAAATCGTGAGATTTGGTAGTGGGGACCCTTTGGTGTGTAGGGATTTTCCTGGGAACGGAATGCGTTCGTTTGCTCTATCTCAAGGGCTTTCTAGGGGGTGCGCGATGGACTAAAGACTCGGCGTCACCGTGTCGGCTAGTCTGTGTACGTAACAGAAGTTAGTCCTCGTCATCTGAAAGATTGTTAGGATTTTGTTTAAACAATTTTACGTTTGTCCTGTGACGAGTTTACCGATCTACCACTTTCTTTTATCCCTACCGACTGGTTGTTTGTATTTACTAACACTTCGAATGGACCTTTGTTGTACTCCATGTATCATAGTAATCGTTTATTAACCCTCGGAAGGCGAATGGTTTTGGACGAACGCGGGAGACAAATGCAGGGTCATTTTGACCCATAGCAAAATTTCTATTGTACACGGGTTTCAAGAAGAAATTGGGTATAAATGCGTATACTTTCAACTATATATATTTTTCTTGTTTATTTACATTTGATACATAAAATAGGTGTATTTCCTGTACCAAACGTGATCTGAGCCGCCTGACTTTATCGCTGTTGAGTCAAAATGATGATTCATCTTACGAGGTGGGACCGTGGTCTTTTACGGAGGTAGGAATGATTCGATTGTATGAGAAGTTAACTTTTAAATTAACTATATATATTTACTCTTGTATTACAAGGTTAACAGTGAAAGTGATTGACGCGAGATTGTCTTGTATGTGTTCGTGATACTCTTGTGGAGTATCTCCTGTTTATTCAAAGTGGACTGTTCTGTTTGGTGTTTGGAATTAGACTGTCCTCTCCAGTTTTTTCCATAAGGAGGAAAACTCTGAAGAGGTGACCTTTTCGCCTATTGGCTATCGGTGCTAGCCAATTATATTTTTCCCTAATTGCCACCGACCTATTCGTGTGTCCGCAACACGCTCCGTGCGGACTAGGCGATGACAAGAGGGGGTGGAGGTCAGCAAATGTTTAAACATTTGAAACGACAACGGGAATTTCCACCAGGCCTGGGACTCGCGGCGTGCCCAGGTAGGGGCTGCCGGGCCTCTGTCCCGAAGCCCTTTAGAAATTCACGTTTTATGACACGTACAATTAGCTGTTGAGGTCGTAAACAACGTTTAGGAAAAGAAACTATTCCTTAAGGGATTAACGAATAAAGAGACATTCTCAAAAACAGCTTTCTAACTTGTATGTCCTGAAACGTACTAGCAATCTGCTCTAGATTGCTAGCCGCTGTGGAACAAATGTTTAAACCGGGTAAAAAATAAAACCGGTGGGTTTTCTATGGTATTCCGCGGGTGGTCCGCGGAATACGAGGGTTAAGGGAGAATTCTAGTCTAGAGTGTCATTTGTTAGTACTTTTTAGGGATTCTTTTGGAAGGAAAGTATAAGATTCTCAGTATCGGCATTTTGCATACATATTTATTCATGTTTTAAGAAAATTCACAATTTTTTTCAAGTGAAAATAATCAAAACTGTCTGAATTATATTATATATCATTCAGTACGGTTCGTTTAAAAAAAAGGGTCCTACTGGCGGACACGATTCCGCCCATTCTGTTTATCCGAAATGAAAAAACTAAAAGGATTCTTGATTAGTACGACTGTGACTATGGTGTGAACGAGAATGAAAAGAAAATAGAGAAAATTTACAAAATGACGACATTTTGAAGTTTGAATATCGATTTCTTCGACTTTTTTTCGTCTTTCAGAGGCTCTAAAAATCAGAAAAATATATATTTTGGCATAATTCTGGTTCAGACGATAACGGCACATCCACTGATGGTGCATGTAAAATTTGGAGTCAAACGGACGACAAGAATTTGAGATATCATGTCAGCCATTTAGAAAAATATTGTCTCGAGAAAAACGCGTTTAAAGTTTCTCATACCAGTTACACGAGAATGGAATACTTATGACTACGGGCTACATGTCTAACCATCTATAACTTCGTCAATTTTACGAATTCGCAAAAATCCTTCGACAGTTATACTTCTGCAAATGTCTACTTTCAGAAAATGTAAAAAAGAATCGATTTTTTGGAAAACTCTAGACTAGAATACCCCCTTAAGTGTCAACCGTACAAGTATCACGAAACGGAGACACGTTAACAAGGTACAATATGTATCGTTAGCGGTCTATTCGGTAGTTTAACGGAGCGGCGTGCGTGACGCTAAAAGGACTAATCTCTGATTTTTAAGAAAGGACGTATAATACATGTGTTGGTATCTTGAGGAGTGAGGATTAGGATTCATAAGGGTTTCGTAAACCATGGACAGAGTTCGCGGATGAGACGGAGGTGGAGGTTCGAGGATGAGTAGTGAAGACAGGATGAAGTCATTGGTTATCGAAATTTCGAGTATGTACTTAGAAAATGAGAATGGAAGGCTCACACTTAAATCTACAGCGCGATTTGGAATAACAGTGTTTAGTCTACTCGCAGTGATCTCGCGATCTTTCGAGCTTCGTTGATTTTGCACGTTTGTGCCGACTAATTACAAATTCGAAGGACCACTACCGTGTATCGGAGGACTAACTAATTTGCTCGTGTTTCTACGTTGTTTTTTGGAAGAGTTTAATGTTACTCGTTGCTAGCCGAATGGATTCTGATTTCGAGGTCTCGGAAAAAGTTCGAAGATACCTCGGTCTGGATACATTCGGCGGGGGTGAGACACGCGGATTCGACAAGGGAGGTGGTTGACTATACGCGATTGGCAAACTATTAAACAAAGAACGAACTAAAGGGACGCCTCCAAGTCAACGGTCACTCTCAAGTGTCGTCCGCACCCTTGAGTGACGCGCGCGGAAACTCGCGTGTCTCGAAGCAATAAACGCAGCAGCTAATAAGTCTGGGCAGCGCTTCGTCGCTAACAAAAACATACCAAGGTGGAGACCAAAAACCCGAGAAGTTAAAATATAACAAACAGATGTAGACGAGAGCCACGAGAAGAAAAGCATCGAACTTCTAAATAAACGTTAAAGTGCTCGATGGCCTCCCAAACTTACAACTGCTGCGAAGGACCGAATAATTTCCAGACCCGTGCCTGGAAAACGCTGTAAATCTAATAGGACGACTAAACAAACAGATAATGTCGGTATACAACATCTTTTTATCTCTCGTTAAAGGGTTTCGTATTGTAGTTTCTAATTAAAATTTGATCTCTTTTTGAAATCGGTTCGAGGTTAGAATAGGATGTGTCGGATGGTGAAGACAATA